TATTGAGAAAAGATGGCTCCCCACTCGAAACTATTCTACTCTTACGTTTCGTGAAAATATATAGTAGTATACAATGAAATAATATGCTTTATCTGTTCGGATATAAGGAAATTACTATTTGTAACAGGACGTCATGAAACTGCTTTAGTCCATGTTCTGGTATTTTAGTATTATGAGTTTGCTAATCTTATAGATTTTCTCATGCGTTCATCAATTACAAATCATGGCTAAGAAATAAAGGAGCTCATGGTTTTTTAAAGTATATACAGAACTTACAGGTGCAATGCATAGATTCTGAATTAGTGACTGACACAATAAAAAGTTGCTTGCACACTTATATCAATGAAGCACATTATGCAAATAACACACTGAAAGATTTCACTTATACTACCGCACTTTAGCATCACGGTAATATTTCCTTTTGAGGGAATATTGCCAAAATCTCATTTCTCCATAACACAGTTACTTAGGTTTCTGTTTATTTTTCGCACTCGCAAGAGCTTCACATTTTAAAGAATTTAGATGCGACTTCCACGCTCATTAGTCAAGATTGTTTGACGCTGATGCTGACTTTAGTAAAGGGTCACATGTTATGTAAGCCAAACTGAAGTTTCCAATGCGTATGAAGCGAAAACATTACGAGTCTATAAAATGCATTAGAAGCGATGGTTAGAGAAAGAATCCGTTGTATTTTTTAGGGCTTAAATAGTATTCAATTCGTAGTTTTAAACGGTACCCCCCCCAAAAAAAAAAAAAAAAAAAAAGTAGAGTAGAAGCATTAAAGATAAAACTATAGAGAGAAATGCAAATGATTCTCACAGCTTCCCCCTTACACAGCACACAAGCGATGGTTAGGGAAAGAATCCGAGTCTCATTTCATAGGGCTTAAATAGTAATCACTTCGTAGTTTTACACTTCACAAAAAAAAAGAAAAAAAAAAAGAGCTAGTTCAGGACAAGCACTAAAGATAAAACTATAGAGAGAAATGCAAATGATTCTCACAGTTTCCCCCTTACACAGCACACTTCACGAATTAACTGAAATAAGATTTACTTTCGAACACATCATTTCTACTTCACTAAGGAACACGCTGCTTACCTTTCACGTGTTCAGAAGAGAGTGAGGGAGAAGTGATTTGAGGGTCGAGTTCAGCGACTCTGTCGGTCTTTTGGAAGTGTGGGGCTATTTATAGTGAGGCGTGGGCAATTTCGTTCTCATTTCAGTAATATTTCTAAATTGTACGTTCAAGGACGTCTGTAATAACGGGAGGAGGTGGGCAATGCCCAAACTATCCTTATTTGTTTTACTTCCAGTCTTGGACTGATTGCCTTTACAATTGCTTTTCTACGGCACTTTAAAAATATGATATATATTATATAATACTTTATTCAAAGAATCCCATATCTGGAAGTAAATGTGTATCGTTCCTTGCGAGACAACTGTAGGCCTCCAGCATTTCGGAAAATTAGATAACCAATCACAAGCGACTTTCTTCGTTTCGCCCGCCCACTCCAGGTGCCGCTGAGGATAATTGTATGAAGCGCATACTGGAAGGAAGGGAATGTAAGAAGTGTCCGGCGAATCGATCTTCATTACTGGACAGACCCGCTGATGCAAATAGATATGAACTACAACAGAAACAGAAATGAATGTATTTTGATAACAAAGACTGATCTTCTGGGTGCTGTAATAACCCTTATCATTATTAACCCTTCTAAAGCAGTACAAATTCAGACATTTAAATTTCCTGAAAAAACAAGGCTTTCAAAGTAATCTCCGAATGGAAAAAATGCTAAGACTGACATGCATTCATCCAAAAAGCATGGCATACATATATAAAGAAAATATATGTAATATATATATACATTTATGAATATATATAAACACACATATGTGTGTATGTGTATGCGTGTATGTGTATGTGTTTGTGTGTGCATGTCCTTGTATATGTGGGTGTGTGGGTGTATGTACGTGTGTATGTATGTGTACATAAACATATATAGATATATACTTATGCATATGTATATATCTGTGATATGTATATACATATATATTAATATGGATATGGGTACATAAATATATATGTATAAGTATATATATATACATATATGCATACGTATGTGTATATATATTATAAATAAATGTATATGCATACATGAATATTGAAAGAGATGTTTATATAGATATATATGTTTATATATATATGACACACACATATATGTATATACACATATACATATACATATATATACATATATACACAGCAACACATGTACACATGCACGCAGACACGTGTATATTCATATTCATATATAAATGAATATATAATATATATATATAGACATTGTATTATTACATTATATACATTGTATAAAGTATTCATATATATGTATATATATGTTTATACATATCTATATATCTATACACGCATACACACACATACATATATATGTGTGCGTGTGTGCATGAATACATATATGTATATATAATATATATATATGCATATATATTTATTTTTGTATATTAATACATGCACATATATATATATATATATATATATATATATATATATGTATATATATATATATACATATGCATATATATATACTGATATACTATATATATATCTATTTGTATATATACACACACACTCACGCAAATGTAAATATTTATATATATACATATGTACATACACACGCGCACACGCACATACACACACGTATGTATATATATATATAGACGCAATACGTAGTTATAAATTTATATATAATATTGTATTTATTTCTTGATTCTATGTTTTATATCCAATCCCTAAAAAGGAATCTATGGTCAGATTTCATTACGCATGGTGCGTTGTGAATATATATAGAGAGTGATTTATGTATATATATAGAGAGAGAGATAACATATTTTGGTTTCGTTCTTTATCATAGATTTCGTTCATGTTTTCATTAATGCTGCGTAGCATTAAAATTTATTTATTTATATATATGTATATAAATTCTGATATACTATATATACGTGTATATGTATGTATATATATATATATATATATATATATATATACATATATAAACACTAATGTACTGCACACACACACACACATACATATGTAAATATCTGTATATGTGGATATGTATGAATATATATACATATATAGCCACACCCTATAGATATATATATGTGTGTGTGTATGTATGTGTTTGTGTATGTGTGTCTTTATCTGCTTATATAATCATACATGCAATATGCAGATATATGATTATACATAATGTTGTATTTATTTTATGTTTCTATGTATTTTATTTTAAACTTTCAGTCCCTGGAAATGCATCTGAGATCAGATTCCCTTACATATGGTGCTTTATGAATACATAGATAGATAAATAGATAAATACACCAATATAACATATACATATATATATGTATATGTATATACATATATACAAATATAGATTGATAGATAAGTGTGTTTGTGATACACTTGTTTATATATATATATATATAAATACACATGTATGACACACTCAAACACATATCTATCTATCTATACTAGTATATACCAGTATATATAGTATATATATCTATATCTATCTATATGTGTATATATACATACATACATATATGTATATATATATGCACACACACACAAATATTTACGTATATACATATATATATGTGTGTGTGTGCATGTGCGTGTGTGTGTGTGTGCACGCGTATGTATGTGTGTGTATGTGGGCATGTGTGGTGTGGATATGCGTGTATAATAATTTCTATATGTGTATATATATATATGTTTGTGTATACGTATATGTACACATATTCATATATATAATACATGTATCTAAATATTCATATATAGAATACATTACATATATTCATATATATAAACACATACATATATACACATATGTACACACATATATTTGTAAATATATATATATAAATATATACATATATATATATACATGCGTGTATAAATAATAATGCGCACATTTATGAATATGCTAACTGCTCTTATCTGATAGGGATGTAGGGGAGTTTGTACCGGGACTTCGTGAAAAGACTTGGGACTGATTTCAAATATGAATGCATTTTAACACATTATCAAGTAATTGTATGTACATGTACTATAAAGATGAATATTCCTTGCTGATGAAGATATTTTTGAGCGTTTAAAGGAAAGGTATGATGATGACTGTTCGATGATAGTATACGATTGCGGATAGATTTTCTTTGATATATGGAAAAGCACAAACGCAATTTCGTATATTCGATGCTCGCCTCTGCTCAGCCGGGGAATGGGGATACGTTGCTCACAGATGTAAAGAAATTGGTAAGCAAATAGTATTTTGTTTTAATACCAAAATTACTAAATTCTCAACCGTTACAGTGTAGCGAGACACTGAAATGTTTCCTTGACTAATGCGATACATCGACTCTTTCACTTTATAGTATCATTAAACAAATGTACAGTAAGGTTTGGGTATATACAGTTACTATATTTACTTGCAAACGTACAAGCAATAGTAAACTGTTGGATTAAAACACTGGGCAGATTATGGGAAACGCAGCTTGTTTGCCTGGACTGGTGAGCTGCTTTATATTAGCTAGGAGAGTTGAGAGCGCGCTCTCGTCACTTATAATTGCCATCTTTGCTGCTGTATAATGATGTCAAAAGCAAAAATACAATGCAAGCAGTAACTAGGCTTTGAAGTAGTTTATCTGCTTTAAAGCTATCTTTGTTGTCTTAACTGGCAGTTAATTTTTTTGAAACAGAAAGGACCAAGAAATAGGGCATTATCGATGTACACTTTATTACATGTTGATAATTATTCATGTACGATATTGGTAAGAGAGGGGACTTTCCAAATTAGTGTTAGGAAAGCTTAAACTATTTTGTACATGATTTCTGTACAATGAACTCTTTAATGTGATGCAGATGAATTTCTATTTCTCTGACGAAAAGCTTCACTGATACAATATCTGGTGTAAAAGATCTAGCTGGCGAAGGGGTTGAAGGCGCGAGCGGGAGCTGGGTAGCTGTAGCCGCAGTCTCCTTTGACGGTAGCGGTGGCCGTCACGGTGTTGTACTGTTCCCTGTATACGGTAGAAGTCACGTAATTGGTGTTGTAGACAATTCTGGTGTTGTATTGAATGCGGGTCTGATCGGGCAGTTGTTGTGTCCTGACGGAGGTTTGAGTGACTGTGACGTAGCGTGTCTGAGCGGGAAGGTTGATGTATGAAGACGCTGTCCTCTGAGCGTAAATGGTTGTAGGAACCACTCGGGTAGAGAACTGTGTCCTGACGACCTGCTGAGGAACGGTGACGATTCTTGTGTTGTACTGTGGCACCTGCTGTGTACGAAGGACGGTGGAGACTCGCTGTTCTACTTGTGTACGTGTTACGTATTGAATCTGCGTGCTAGTGCGAAGCAGCTGAGAGACGATGGTGGTGGTGACAGGAACCAGCTGTGTAGAGGTGATGACTCGAGTCTGACCAGGTTGTGTGATGGTTTGGGTGACGACGTTGGTCCTGACAAGCTGGGTAGTTCTGACGACGTTCTGTGCAGGTATGACTACAGTAGAATAACGGGTGCTGTACTGAGTAGTTGGTACAATGCGAGTCTGATCTGGTAACTGCTGTGTTCTTATAACCGTCTGTGTTCTGTAGACGGTGCTGACCACCTGCTGAGGTACCACCTGTGTTGAGACGACGTTTCTAACGATGGTGGTAGGTACCTGCTGGACGCGAGTCTCATACCGTGTCTGGTATTGCACTTGTGTCCTGACACTCTGCTGAGTACGAGTCACGTAATTGACCTGAGGAGGGAGAGTGACGAGCTGTGTGCGTAGGTTTTCCTGAGTGGTCGTGACAGTGAGCGTTTGGTATCTTACTGAAGGAACCTGCTGAGTGCGGACGATCTGCGAGTATAAGGTGGTGAAGACTTGCTGTGTGCGGACGGATGTTTGAGTGATGTACTGAACGTTTGTGTTGTAGACGGTTGACGGGACGACTACGGTAGAATATTGGATCTGCGTGCGGTAGACGACAGATGGCTTGCATTGGGCTTCTTCCTTTGGCGGCAAATAGGAGGATTCGAGGTTGATGCGAGCTCCGAAGATCTGACGGCGAGGCCTCTCGACGGACGCCCCGAAGGCGAAGCCGACCAACAGAGAGAGCAGCAACGTCCTCATCCTGAAGAATAGAATGGTTAGTATTACTTCAGTTGAGTTAACTGAAAGTTGATAAACATGAAAGTTGATGTGTGAATTGACATGGGATGAACATAGAAATATGGATATGAAATGAGTTAATTTCACTGGGAAGTAATTCCTGCAATATATAACAGAATTTACTTTCATAGAATAACAATGAAAATTGCATAAAAATACAGAATTAATATCCTGTGAATTAATAATATAATACTTACTATGGATTGCCTGTAATACATAAAGAATATTTAATATGAAGGAGTAATAAAAGAGTTGTATAGGTATATGTGTGTATTTTACATTTACTTCCATACAGTTCACTGGAAAGCGAAATATAAAAAGATATGTTGAAAAAGTTTGGCAGATTTTTACATGTTGATTTCTCGTGGGTTAATTTGATATAAATCAATATGATCTAAAGGTTGTTGAACGAAGTAGGTGTTTTTCTAAAAATTGAAGGGAATGGCCGGTGCATCGTAATTATAACCACAAGAGGAAGTAAGTGTCTGAGTGACGGTAAGTTGGCGAGGTTGGTTGACTGTGCGGTACACGAGCTGCTGTCTTTGTTGGGTCTGCACCACCTCCCGGTTAACGATACGGTCTTGGCCGGGTATTTGGACTACAGAGGTTCTGACTTCCTGACGGGTTTGTACGACGGGGACCGGTGTGACGTACTGGGTTCTGACAACGGTCTGTACCCGTGTGAAGGGCTGAACCCTTGTCTCGAAGAGAGTGGTATAGATGGTGGTGGGAACCACCTGAGTACGCACCACCTCTTGGGGCACCACCTGTGTGAGGATGCGCGTCTGGGTAGCAACATTGGTTCTGGTGACCAGCTGTTGACGAGTAGTAACGACATTCTCGTAACGAGTATTGACAGATGTGAAAGGAATGATTTGTTGACGCTGAGCAACAGTAGTTGTAAGAACGTCCTGTCCACGGACGATAGATGTCTTTAGTAGTTGTTGGACACGTGTGGATGTTACAAAACGGGTGATAGCTGGCTGTTGGCTCCTGACAATGGATGTCTGAACAACAGTCTGAACACGAGTTTGTACAACTTCACGGCCTGGGACAGTGACAACACGGGTAGCTTGGCGCTGCTGTGTTTGGTAATTAGTAAGAGGTTGGATAATTGTCCTGATCTGAGTGGAGGTTACCTGGACAGGAACCACCTGTGTCTGCACCTGTGTACGTGTGACGTAATTGACCTGTGGCACCACACGGGTTGAAGTGACGAAACGAGTTTGTACAACAGGTGGGCTTGGAACAGTTTGTGTGACAAACCTATCAATAGCACGAATGGTTGTTTGTCGAACAACACTGGTCTGATACTGGACCTGCGTTTGAACACGAGTCTGGAAAAGTGTGGTTGGTACCACCTGTTGCCTGACAATGGTGGTGGTTCTATACTGAGTTTTGACTTGATTGACGGTCTGGAGGCGAACTGAGGTCTGAATCTGAGTGTTGTAGACGACGGAGGTGACAGGGGCAAGCTTGCACTTTGCGGGAGGAAGATATTGGTTGTCGGGTTCCGGGTAATTGTATCCCTGGGGTTCGGCCGAGGCCAGAGCCAGCAGCAGTAACGTCGCCGTGAAGCGCCACATCCTGCAAAGAGAAATTCCACAGATTAGAGCAGCGGTGATTGGAAGGCCCGCGTCTCGATCACTCATTTGGGAATAAAGTCCAATCACACGCCCCTCTATCTGTGCAACTTCTCCATGCGGTGTGGGCTGACCCGAGAGGACTTTATCGCCCAGATGAGCAGCGAGACTTATTTGGTGTACAGAAACTATAGATACAGGGAACTGATTCCGAATGATGTGTATTGAGAAAAGATGGCTCCCCACTCGAAACTATTCTACTCTTACGTTTCGTGAAAATATATAGTAGTATACAATGAAATAATATGCTTTATCTGTTCGGATATAAGGAAATTACTATTTGTAACAGGACGTCATGAAACTGCTTTAGTCCATGTTTTGGTATTTTAGTATTATGAGTTTGCTAATCTAATAGATTTTCTCATGTGCTTATCAATTACAAATCATGGCTAAGAAATAAAGGAGCTCATGGGTTTTTTAAAGTATATCCAGAACTTACAGGTGCAATGCATAGATTCTGAATTAGTGACTGACACAATAAAAAGTTGCTTGCACACTTATATCAATGAAGCACATTATGCAAATAACACACTGAAAGATTTTCATAACACAGTTACTTAGGTTTCTGTTTCTTTTTTGCACTCGCAAGAGCATCACATTTTAAAGAATTTAGATGCGACTTCCACGCTCATTAGTCAAGATTGTTTGACGCTGATGCTGACTTTAGTAAAGGGTCACATGTTATGTAAGCCAAACTGAAGTTTCCAATGCGTATGAAGCGAAAACATTACGAGTCTATAAAATGCATTAGAAGCGATGGTTAGAGAAAGAATCCGTTGTATTTTTTAGGGCTTAAATAGTATTCAATTCGTAGTTTTAAACGGTACCCTCTCCCCCCCCCAAAAAAAAAAAAAAAAAAATAGTAGTGTAGAAGCATTAAAGATAAAACTATAGAGAGAAATACAAATGATTCTCACAGCTTCCCCCTTACACAGAACACAAGCGATGGTTAGGGAAAGAATCCGAGTCTCATTTCACAGGGCTTAAATAGTAATCACTTCGTAGTTTTACACTTCACAAAAAGAAAAAAAAGAGAAAAAAAAGAGCTAGTTCAAGACAAGCACCAAATATAAAACTATAGAGAGAAATACAAATGATTCTCACAGTTTCCCTCTTACACAGCACACTTCACGTATTAACTGAAATAAGATTCACTTTCGAACACATCATTTCTACTTCACTAAGGAACACGCTGCTTACCTTTCACGTGTTCAGAAGAGAGTGAGGGAGAAGTGATTTGAGGGTCGAGTTCAGCGACTCTGTCGGTCTTTTGGAAGTGTGGGGCTATTTATAGTGAGGCGTGGGCAGTTCTCATTTCAGTAATATTTCGAAATTGTACGTTCAAGGACGTCTGTAATACCGGGAGGAGGTGGGCAATGCCCAAACTATCCTTGTTATTTGTTTTACTTCCAGTCTTGGACTGATTGCCTTTACAATTGCTTTTCTACGGCACTTTGAAATATGATATATATTTTTCAATACTTTATTCAAAGAATCCCATATCTGGAAGTAAATGTGTATCGTTTCTTGCGAGACAACTGTAGGCCTCCAGCATTTCGGAAAATTAGATAACCAATCACAAGCGACTTTCTTCGTTACGCCCGCCCACTCCAGGTGCCGCTGAGGATAATTGTATGAAGCGCATACTGGAAGGAAGGGAATGTAAGAAGTGTCCGGCGAATCGATCTTCATTACTGGACAGACCCGCTGATGCAAATAGATATCAACTACAACTGAAACAGAAATGAATGTATTTTGATAACAAAGACTGATCTTCTGGGTGCTGTAATAACCCTTATCCTTATTAACCCTTCTAAAGCAGTACAAATTCAGACATTTAAATTTCCTGAAAAAACAAGGCTTTCAAAGTAATCTCCGAATGGAAAAATGCTAAGACTGACATGCATTCATGTAAAAAGCATGACATACATATATAAAGAAAATATATGTAATATATATATACATTTATGAATATATATATATACACACGTGTGTGTATGTGTATGCGTGTATGTGCATGTGTGTTTGTGTGTGTGTGTGCTTGTATATGTGGGTGTGTAGGTGTATGTATGTGTGTATGTATGTGTACATATACATATATAGATATATACTTATGCATATGTATATATCTGTGATATATATATACATATACATTGATATGGATATGGGTACATAAACATATATGTATAAGTATATATATACATATATGCATACGTATGTGTATATATATTATGAATAAATATATATGCATACATGAATATAGAAAGAGATGTTTATATAGATATATGTATTTATATATATATATGACACATAACTGTATATACACATATACATATACATATATATATATACATATATATACAACACATGTACACATACACGCAGACAGGTATATATTCATATTCATATATAAATGAATTTATAATATATATAGACAGATATACATATATACATTGTATAAAGTTTTTATATATATGTATATATGTTTATACATATCTATATATCTATACACGCACACACACATATATATATGTGTGTGCGTGTGTGTATAAATACATATTTGTATATATAATATATATACATACATATTTATTTTTGTATATAAATACATGTACATATATATATATATATATATATATATATATATATATATATACTGATATAATATATATATATATATATATATACACACACACACTCACGCAAATATAAATATTTATATATATACATATGTACATACACACGCGCACACACACACACGCACACGTATGTATATATATATACGCAATACGTAGTTATATATTCATATATAATATCGTATTTATTTCTTGATTCTATGTTTTATATCCAATCCCTAAAAAGGAATCTATGGTCAGATTTCATTACGCGTGGTGCGTTGTGAAAAATATATAGAGAGAGATTTATGTATATATATAGAGAGAGATAACATATTTTGGTTTTGTTTTTTATCATAGATTTCGCTCGTGTTTTCATTAATGCTGCGTAGCATTAAAATTTATTTATGTATATATATATGTATGTAAATTCTGATATACTATATATACGTGTATATGTATATATATATATATAAACACTAATGTATTGCACACACACACACACACACATGTAAATATCTGTATATATGTGGATATGTATGAATATATATACATATATAGGCACACATTATATATATATATGTGTGTGTGTGTATGTATGTGTTTGTGTATGTGTGTCTTTATCTGCTTATATAATCATACATGCAATATGCAGATATATGATTACATATGTTATATTTATTTTATGTTTCTATGCATTTTATTTTAAACTTTCAGTCCCTGGAAATGCATCTGAGATCAGATTTCGTTACATATGGTGCTTTATGAATACATAGATAGATAAATAGATAAATGCACCAATATAACATATACATATATACATGTATATGTATATACATATATACAAATATAGATTGACAGATAAGTGTGTTTGTGACGCACTTGTTTACATATATATATATATAAATACACATGTATGACACACTCAAACACATATCTATCTATCTCTCTATATATACTAGTATATACTAGTATATATAGTATATATATCTATATCTATCTATATGTGTATATATACATACATACATATATATGTATATATATATGCACACACACACACAAATATTTACGTATATACATATATATATATGTGTGTGTGTGTGTGTGCATGTGCGTGTGTGTGTGTGTGCGCGTATGTATGGGTGTGTATATGGGCATGTGTGGTATGGATATGCGTGTATAATAATTTCTATATATGTACATATATATGTTTGTGTATACGCATATATACACATATTCATATATATAATACATGCATCTAAATATTCATATATAGAATACATTACATATATTCATATATATAAACACATACATATATACACATATGTACACATATATTTGTAAATATATATATAAATATATACATATATACATATACATGCGTGTATAAATAATAATGCGCACATTTATGAATACGCTAACTGCTCTTATCTGATAGGGATGTAGGGGAGTTTGTATCGGGACTTCGTGAAAAGACTTGGGACTGACTTCAAATATGAATGCATTTTTACATATCAATTGTATATACATGTACTATAAAGATAAATATACCTTGCCGATGTAGATATTTTTGAGCGTTTCAAGAAAAGGTATGATGACTGTTCGATGATAGTATACGATTGCGGGTAGATTTTCCTTGATGAATCGAAAAGCACAAACGCAATTTCGTATATTCGCTGCTCGCCTCTGCTCAGCCGGGGAACAGGGAAACGTTGCTCACAGATGTAAAGAAATTGGTATGCAAATAGTATTTTGTTTTAATACTAAAATACTAAATTCTCAATAGTTACAGTGTAGCGAGACACTGAAATGTTTCCTTGACTAATGCGATACATCGACTCTTTCACTCTATAGTATCATTAAACAAATGTACAGTAAGGTTTGGGTATATACAGTTACTATATTTACTTGCAAACGCACAAGCAATAGTAAACTGTTGGATTAAAACACTGGGCAGATTATGGGAAACGCAGCTTGTTTGCCTGGACTGGTGAGCTGTTTTATATTGGCTAGGACAGTTGAGAGCGCGCTCTCGTCACTCATAATTGCCATCTTTCCTACTGTTAATCATGTCAAAAGCAAAAATATAATGCAAGCAGTAACTAGGCTTTGAAATAGTATATCTGCTTTAAAGTTATCTTTGTTGTCTTGACTGGCAGTTAATTTTTTGAATCAGAAAGGACCAAGAAATAGGGCATTATCGATGTACACTTTATTACATATTGATAATTATTCATGTACGATATTGGTAGGAGAGGGGACTTTCCAAATTAGTGTTAGGAAAGCTTAAAACATTTTGTACATGATTTCTGTACAATGAACTCTTTAATGTGATGCAGATGAATTTCTATTTCTCTGACGAAAAGCTTCACTGATACAATATCTGGTGTAAAAGATCTAGCTGGCGAAGGGGTTGAAGGCGCGAGCGGGAGCTGGGTAGCTGTAGCCGCAGTCTCCTTTGACGGTAGCGGTGGCCGTTACGGTGTTGTACTGTTCCCTGTATACGGTAGAAGTGACGTAATTGGTGTTGTAGACAATTCTGGTGTTGTACTGAATGCGGGTCTGATCGGGCAGTTGTTGTGTCCTGACGGAAGTTTGAGTGACTGTGACGTAGCGTGTCTGAGCGGGAAGGCTGATGTATGAAGACGCTGTCCTCTGAGCGTAAATGGTTGTAGGAACCACTCGGGTAGAGAACTGTGTCCTGACGACCTGCTGAGGAACGGTGACGATCCTTGTGTTGTACTGTGGCACCTGCTGTGTACGAAGGACGGTGGAGACTCGCTGTTCTACTTGTGTACGTGTTACGTATTGAATCTGCGTGCTAGTGCGAAGCAGCTGAGAGACGATGGTGGTGGTGACAGGAACCAGCTGTGTAGAGGTGATGACTCGAGTCTGACCAGGTTGTGTGATGGTTTGGGTGACGACGTTGGTCCTGACAAGCTGGGTAGTTCTGACGACGTTCTGTGCAGGTATGACTACAGTAGAATAACGGGTGCTGTACTGAGTAGTTGGTACAATGCGAGTCTGATCTGGTAACTGCTGTGTTCTTATAACCGTCTGTGTTCTGTAGACGGTGCTGACCACCTGCTGAGGTACCACCTGTGTTGAGACGACGTTTCTAACGATGGTGGTAGGTACCTGCTGGACGCGAGTCTCATACCGTGTCTGGTATTGCACTTGTGTCCTGACACTCTGCTGAGTACGAGTCACGTAATTGACCTGAGGAGGGAGAGTGACGAGCTGTGTGCGTAGGTTTTCCTGAGTGGTCGTGACAGTGAGCGTTTGGTATTTTACTGAAGGAACCTGCTGAGTGCGGACGATCTGCGAGTATAAGGTGGTGAAGACTTGTTGTGTGCGGACGGATGTTTGTGTGATGTACTGGACGTTTGTGTTGTAGACGGTTGACGGGACGACTACGGTAGAATATTGGAGCTGGGTGCGGTAAACGACAGATGGCTTGCATTGGGCTTCTTCCTTTGGCGGCAAATAGGAGGATTCGAGGTTGATGCGAGCTCCGAAGATCTGACGGCGAGGCCTCTCGACGGACGCCCCGAAGGCGAAGCCGACCAGCAGAGAGAGCAGCAACGTCCTCATCCTGAAGAATAGAATGGGTAGTATTACTTCAGTTGAGTTAACTGAAAGTTGATAAACATGAAAGTTGATGTGTGAATTGACATGGGATGAACATAGAAATGTGGATATGAAATGAGTTAATTTCACTGGGAAGTAATTCCTACAATATACAACAGAATTTACTTTCATAGAATAACAATGAAAATTGCATAAAAATACAGAATTAATATCCTGTGAATTAATAATATAATACTTACTATGGATTGCCTGTAATACATAAAGAATATTTAATATGAAGGAGCAATAAAAGAGTTGTATAGGTATATGTGTGTATTTCACATTTACTTCCATACAGTTTACTGGAAAGCGAAATATAAAGAGATATGTTGAAAAAGTTTGGCAGATTTTTACATGTTGATTTCTCGTGGGTTAATTTGATATAAATCAATATGATCTAAAGGTTGTGGAACGAAGTAGGTGTTTTTCTAAAAATTGAAGGGAATGGCCGGTGCATCGTAATTATAACCACAAGAGGAAGTAAGTGTCTGAGTGACGGTAACTTGGCGAGGTTGGTTGACTGTGCGGTACACGAGCTGCTGTCTTTGTTGGGTCTGCACCACCTCCCGGTTAACGATACGGTCTTGGCCGGGTATTTGGACTACAGAGGTTCTGACTTCCTGACGGGTTTGTACGACGGGGACCGGTGTGACGTACTGGGTTCTGACAACGGTCTGTACCCGTGTGATGGGCTGAACCCTTGTCTCGAAGAGAGTGGTATAGATGGTGGTGGGAACCACCTGAGTACGCACCACCTCTTGGGGCACCACCTGTGTGAGGATGCGCGTCTGGGTAGCAACATTGGTTCTGGTAACCAGCTGTTGACGAGTAGCAACGACATTCTCGTAACGAGTATTGACAGATGTGAAAGGAATGATTTGTTGACGCCGAGCAACAGTAGTTGTAAGAACGTCCTGTCCACGGACGATAGATGTCTTTAGTAGTTGTTGGACACGTGTGGATGTTACAAAACGGGTGATAGCTGGCTGTTGGCTCCTGACAATGGATGTCTGAACAACAGTCTGAACACGAGTTTGTACAACTTCACGGCCTGGGACAGTGACGACACGGGTAGCTTGGCGCTGCTGTGTTTGGTAATTAGTAAGAGGTTGGATAACTGTCCTGATCTGAGTGGAGGTCACCTGGACAGGAACCACCTGTGTCTGCACCTGTGTACGTGTGACATAGTTGACCTGTGGCACCACACGGGTTGAAGTGACGAAACGAGTTTGTACAACAGGTGGGCTTGGAACAGTTTGTGTGACAAACCTATCAATAGCATGAATGGTTGTTTGTCGAACAACACTGGTCTGATACTGGACCTGCGTTTGAACACGAGTCTGGAAAAGTGTGGTTGGTACCACCTGTTGCCTGACAATGGTGGTGGTTCTATACTGAGTGTTGACTTGATTGACGGTCTGGAGGCGAACTGAGGTCTGAATCTGAGTGTTGTAGACGACGGAGGTGACAGGGGCAAGCTTGCACTTTGCGGGAGGAAGATATTGGTTGTCGGGTTCCGGGTAATTGTATCCCTGGGGTTCGGCCGAGGCCAGAGCCAGCATCAGCAACGTCGCCGTGAAGCGCCACATCCTGCAAAGAGAAATTCCACAGATTAGAGCAGCGGTGATTGGAAGGCCCGCGTCTCGATCACTCATTTGGGAATAAAGTCCAATCACACGCCCCTCTATCTGTGCAACTTCTCCATGCGGTGTGGGCTGACCCGAGAGGACTTTATCGCCCAGATGAGCAGCGAGACTTATTTGGTGTACAGAAACTATAGATACAGGGAACTGATTCCGAATGATGTGTATTGAGAAAAGATGGCTCCCCACTCGAAACTATTCTACTCTTACGTTTCGTGAAAATATATAGTAGTATATAATGAAATAATATGCTTTATCTGTTCGGATATAAGGGAGTTAGTATTTGTAACAGGACGTCATGAAACTGCTTTAGTCCATGTTTTGGTATTTTAGTATTATGAGTTTGCTAATCTTATAGATTTTCTCATGCGTTTATCAATTACAAATCATGGCTAAGAAATAAAGGAGCTCATGGGTTTTTTAAAGTATATCCAGAACTTACAGGTGCAATGCATAGATTCTGAATTAGTGACTGACACAATAAAAAGTTGCTTGCACACTTATATCAATGAAGCATATTATGCAAATAACACACTGAAAGATTTCACTTATACTACTCCACTTTAGCATCATGGTAATATTTCCTTTTGAGGGAATATTGCCAAAATCTCATTTTTCCATAACAACGTTACTTAGGTTTCTGTTTCTTTTTCGCACTCGCAAGAGCATCACATTTTAAAGAATTTAGATGCGACTTCCACGCTCATTAGTCAAGATTGTTTGACGCTGATGCTGACTTTAGTAAAGGGTCACGTGTTATGTAAGCCAAACTGAAGTTTCCAATGCGTATGAAGCGAAAACATTACGAGTCTATAAAATGCATTAGAAGCGATGGTTTGAGAAAGAATCCGTTGTATTTTTTAGGGCTTAAATAGTATTCAATTCGTAGTTTTAAACGGTACCCCCCCCCCAAAAAAAAAAGAAAAAAAAAAAACTAGTAGAGTAGAAGCATTAAAGATAAAACTATAGAGAGAAATGCAAATGATTCTCACAGCTTCCCCCTTACACAGTACACAAGCGATGGTTAGGGAAAGAATCCGAGTCTCATTTCACAGGGCTTAAATAGTAATAACTTCGTAGTTTTACACTTCACAAAAAGAAAAAAAAAGAGAAAAAAAAAGAGCTAGTTCAAGACAAACACTAAAGATAAAACTATAGAGAGAAATGCAAATGATTCTCACAGTTTCCCCCTTACACAGCACACTTCACGTATTTACTGAAATAAGATTCACTTTCGAACACATCATTTCTACTTCACTAAGGACCACGCTGCTTACCTTTCACGTGTTCAGAAGAGAGTGAGGGAGAAGTGATTTGAGGGTCGAGTTCAGCGACTCTGTCGGTCTTTTGGAAGTGTGGGGCTATTTATAGTGAGGCGTGGGCAGTTTCGTTCTCATTTCAGTAATATTTCTAAATTGTACGTTCAAGGACGCGGTAATGCCTGGAGGAGGTGGGCAGTGACCAAACTATCCTAGACTTGTTATTTGTTTTGTTTTTTTCCACTCTTGGACTAATTCTTTTACGCATGATTTTCCAGGTACTTCAAAAAATTATACGGCTATGTAGATTATACAACAATTAATGAATCGCATATCTGGAAACAAATGTGTATCGTTCCTTTCGAGACAACTGTAGGCCTCCAGCATTTCGGAAAATTAGATGACCAATCACAAGCGACTTTCTTCGTTTCGCCCGCCCACTCCAGGTGCCGCTGAGGATAATTGTATGAAGCGCATAGTGCAAGGAAGGGAATGTAAGAAGTGTCCGGCGAATCGATCT